ATATAGATATATATACAGTATACTGTTTATACATGTTCTGGCAGGAGCACAGCCCATTCAAATGTTATTTTTAATTAGCTGAATTGGATAGTCTCAAAAAAGCACATCAGATAAAAAAAACCAGACCTTTATCATAATCTTTACTTGTACAGTGTAAAACTCAAGTAAGGCACGTGTCATAGTCTGTGTCTGAGTATTTTCTGTCATTAGTTTGCAGTTTTCTTTGTGTATTCTGGCCTTTTTCCATCCTGCCCTCCTGTCTGCCTCTGCTCCAGCCCCGCCCACACTCACCCGTGTCTCCTCCAGGTGTTTCTTGTTTACCCATCATTAGAATCACATCACTCTATAACTCTGCCTTGGCTACTTTATCACTAGATTTTAAATTGCACAACCCTGACTATTTTGTTTTTTCTGGTCACTTTTACCACTGGATCTAATTGCACTACTCCAGCTATATTGTCTGCTCTGATTACTGTATTGAACTGGTGTACATATGTTTTACATATTTTATTAAATTTTTTCCTTTATCCTTTGTATTTTCTTTATTTGCTATATTTTACACTTATGACACCTTTACACCGAAACAGATTCTCAGTCTGTGAATCCTGTTCATTGACAATGGCTATAAAACTGATTCTGATTAGTTTGTCTTTTCTGCCTCCTGTCCTCAGTGTTTGTTGGATCATTGTGCTGTTGTCCCTCAGCCTGTGTGGATGTCTCTATGTGCTTTTCATTCATCGTTATTAAGGACGTTCTAGGAGCTTGTAACATATGTACTGTTATTTATTATGACCCCCGCACACGAAGTGAGGGTCACATTGTTTTCGTACTTTTTTTTCAGTGATCTTTGGTCAACCGTAGCACAAAAACGGCTGCACCAATCAACATGAAATTTGGCAGGACTGTAGATGAGTCTGACCTACACTGCTCCAGCCAACGGTTTTACGATAGACCCCATATTTGAGGAGGGGGCTCCTTTCAAAGAGGGGATGTCTGGACATGCAAAAATGCATATAACTCAGAAACTGTTCAACATAGAAGTTTCAGATTTCTTTTGTTGTTTAGCTCTGATGAAGCTCTATCCATCAGGCCCACCAATCAGTGCCCCCCCACCTCGGACCCCCAATAAATCTGAAAAAGGGGTATCTTGACATACAAAAATGGTTATAGCTCAAAAACTAATAAACATTGAAGCTTCAGATTTTCTTTGGTTGTTTAGCTCTGATGAGGGTCTGTCCATCAAGTCAACCAATGCCTCCCCAACCCAAAAAATACCCTCACCCAAACCAGTGCAATTTTGGGATGCACCTTAGGAATAATGACTTCTTAGTTCTGGTGCATTTGTGTGTGCGGGGGTCATTATGTTACCGCTATACGGTGTCTAGTTTTATACATTTTCTGCTACTTTTTAATTGGCTATTATTAAGTTTTATTAGGATACAAGATGCTTCCTACAAAAAACTGAATGTGAATATTTTCCTAAAATTTCATGGCGATATCTTGAACACTGAGGAAGTTATGAGCAAAAATAGATAACAGCAAGGTGAAATGGTCACAAAGGCACCATTGGTTCTGCTGTGAACTGCAGCAAGAAAACATGAGCTGATTTCACCTAAACAAACATCAATAACTTCCCTCATACTTGAGATAATCACATGATTTTGGTGTTATTTTGTATGGTTTGAAACGTCCTTTTGAAATCCGCAGTCAGATTTAAAATTGGTGTAGGATTAAAAATGTATCCACTCCCCTACATTAATTGTTTTGTGAAGAATGAAAAACTAGAAACAATGGGAATTTAGCACCACATATTGTACTATTTAAGCCATTTTCTTAATGGAAGGCAACTCCAGCCACAGCTTTTGATAATGAAAATCTTCAAACAGGTGATGTGTCCATTTAGCTTTGTAATATCTTAAAAACCAAGACTCTTTTGCACCTCTATTCAATGTCAGTGTTTGCTAAGAAGTGCACATTTATATCTGTAAATACTGTATATTCCTTTTAATCTTCTGGTTGACTTAAAAACAAAAGTAGTCCTGAATGTGACTTGAACAGGTATTTCAAGGGTCTTTACAAGCGTCATGTTTGTGTTTTTCAGAGCTGCTGTATACCGAAGGGCATGCACATTTGCTTTTAGTCTCGTACAGAAAGGAACCGGATTACTTTACATGAAAGGCTTTTGGTACAAATTCAGTTACAACAATTACAACAGTGCTAGGCACAGATGAAAAGCATGTACTTTGAAATTTTGGGAGCTTCAACAACTCATTTTCAAAAGATGAGCTGGATTTACAGTCCTTTTTTTATTGGCAATAAAGAGAATAGTCCAAAATCTATATGTAATGATGTAAACTGGGGCAAATCTAACCATGTCTGTAAGCAGTTTGTTTCTTACAGAGATGACTGTTGGTGACATCTGGTGAACATTTTAAAATAAATGCAAAGATTTTCATTGTTCAAGAAAGCCACCAGGTCACTGTACTTGTAAATATTTGAGTTAGCAAGACACATTTTCTTTCAAATAGTCTTATGAACATAAACTTGTTTTGAACCCTTCAATTTAGTTCCCAAGAGTCAGAAAGTGCAAGACGTTGGACAATTTTAGGAGCAGTTGGCAAACAATGAAATTTAATTGACTGGAGACAAAAAAAAAGATCATGGGTTCACCAAGATTGCAAGAGACAGAAGAAATTGTACCATAGTCTGACTATTCCACATTTTCATTATTCTTGCTCTAATGTCTTGTTAACTTCGTAACTCATGCCCACCTCTGGAAGTGCTTACTCAAAGGTTGTTTTAGGAAAAAAAAATAAATGCACCCTGCAAAATGTCACTTTCAACTGATCTGGATGCCAAGTTGTACTATATGCAGGGGTAGCAAAAGACTGTCAGGAGTAAAATGTCTTCATTGATTCTAGTTCAGCTATAGAATACCTTTACATTTTTAATGTTCATGGAGAAAAAAAAAGTTTGTGCATTCACACAACAGCTGTCATGTCTTAAGTGGACATTCTAAGTGGCATTTCTACACCAAATCTTGATTCTCAAATGTACAGTAGTTTATTGCTAAAGAGGTAGTTTATTGCTAAAGAGTCCTAATGAGAGAGAAAACAATAACTATTGCATGACTGGATTATTCCCTTTACCCATTCCCGTTTAAGATCCAAAATGATAAGTCACTGTTTCAATGCCAATTTGTCTTTAAAGATTACACAGACTGCATCATTTTACTGACAAACCAAAAAACATTAAACCAGCTTTTATTGATGTATAAGAAATAAATCAGCATCCAGCCTTCATCTGGTTGTGGGGAGGCAGAGGCTTGTTCAGGTGGATGCCCACAGTCAGACCAAACTCCTGGCTGGCATGTTTCTCCTGAACTTCAGGTTTCAGCTGGAAGGTCTTCTCATCAAAGCAACCCAGAGAGAAGAAGGACAGGGGCTTCTCTTCCAGGAGACCCTGCAGTCGTGTACGCCAGGCCTCCAACATGGATTTACAATCTTCGTCAGCTACAGATGCTGGAGCCCAGAAGATCTGAGGGGCCAGAACCTGGAAGCCACAGTAGTGCAGGATGCCATTCTGCAGAGAAATTTTTTTTTAAGTAAAGCATCAACTTCACTCTGATTAATTTAATACAAAATACCTGCAGAGGCCACAGCGTGACGTTCATGTCCCCATCGATGCCAGTTGGGCTGAACATGGATTCAGAAGACCTAGTGGTGAAGGACAACATGGCCTTCTTGTCCTGTAACAAAACAAAATACGCTAGAAAGTTCTTTTAAAAGACCTGCCAAAACATGTGATCAGAGCATCACCTTGAAGACTCCCTGGCTGTAACGCTTCTCCTGGGAATAGGCAAATCCATGAGTGAGCACTCTGTCGATCCAACCCTTCATGATTGCAGGAAAGCCAAACCAGTAGATGGGGAACTACCGAAGAAAGATCACAGTGCTGGTTTAAAAAAAAAAAAAAAGTGACTTAGCATGGACTTTACTGCTAAAAGACATTACCTGAAATATGATCAGGTCTGCCTCAGTGACTTTAGTTTGCTCTTTAGTAATGTCATCTGACAGCCGTCCTTCTTCCCAAGCAAGCTTGCTCTCCATCAGGTAACAGAAGTTCTCAGCATTAGCCACTTCTCCTGGGTAGGAAAAAAAAATATCTAAATAATTACAGTGAGAATTACCACCAATAAGTCAAGTGATATTTCATACCTTTTAAGTCCTCAGCAGTGGCTGTGGCTTTAAAGTTCATAGCATACAGGTCAGACACTTCCACGGTGCAGCCCTGAGCAGTCAGAACCTCCACAGCAGCATTTTTAGCTGCAGCATTGAATGAAGCAGAGCTCTGGTGGGCATAAATGATCAGCACTCTCTTTGCTGCAAAAACAGTAGAAAAACAAACTCATCAGCAGTCCTTCAGTTACACAGAATTGGCTGTTTTTGTTGTTGCATACACATAATACAGAGTACACACAAACTGTTTCACAAATAAAGACATCTTTACCCATTTTGATGCCACAACCAGACTAGAGCTGATACTTTTTAAAAAGCTGGTTTAGTGATGCTCAGCATGCAGCAAACTGTCTTCATGCTGCTTTTATTCACCCTTTTGATACAGGCTGGCTCAGGTGTTGGCAATCAGCAATTAAACTCACCAATCAGCCAGCTGGCCCTTTGTGTAAATCTTTTACTGTTCATGATGTCAAACCAAGTTTCAGATACTGAGAGGAACCCAAACAATGATAAACTACTGGCTAAATCCAAAAAGCAATAATCCGGATCACCCAACACTAGATATTTTAAGTACAAGCTGGAAAAAGGGAAAAAGACAGGCAAGTAGTTTTGGGTGGGTGATTCAAGAGGAAACAGAGAAATATCCAATTCATAATCTAACAATAAGTCCAGTGTTACCACCGTCAGTAATACCACCCTGGATTCTACCAGAAGCTTCAGTTGATTTGACATTAATGGAAAAGAAAAGAGATACATCATACATTTTCAACTCACAGACAGTGCAGGATTATATACTGTAAACAATTATTATCAGTAAATTCAAATATGTACAGATGCTTCAAAGGAAACAGAGAAAATAGGAGTTGCATTTGTAATACCAGAATTTCAAATAAAAGTAGGTAAAAGAATCACAGACAATTTATCAGTTTATGCAGGAGAAATGATTGCAGTATTATTAGCCATACAGTGGGTATAATAAGTAAAACCTATAAAATCTATAATCTGTTCAGACTCAAGTTAAATTTTAATGAGTATAAAAAACAATCACAGACAGCAGGCCAGACATTTTACTAGAAATTAGTCACACACTATTCAGAATACAAAGGATGGGGTTAACTGCTGTTTTTATTTGGGTACCAGCACATATAGGGGTAAGAGGAAATGAAAAAGCAGATAAAATGGCAAAAAAGGCAGTTCAAAATGACCATTAACATTATAAGACAAGTAAATCTGAAGCAAGAAGCATAATTAATGAAAGATTGAAGAAAGAATGGCAGAAGAGATGGGAGAGAGATAACAAAGGGAAGTGGTTTTATAAGATCCAAAGGATGGTAGGAGAAACAAGAGCTGGAAAAAGGAGCAGAAAAGAAGAAAGAGTGATAACAATAATTTCTGCTTGGCCTTCAGAGGAGTCAGACGTTTTTTGCTCTCTCTCCCGAACCTGTCCCTTTTTCCCTGCTTCGCAGCTGGGTCAAGCCTTTCTTCTACGCATCATTCGATAACAAAAGAATTATGGATCTGGTCAACTGTCTCTGAATGCAATCGACAATATTTTTTCAACACTGAGATTGGAGCAAGGGGAGTGCAGCTGTCCCAGTGGAACTGTCACGGCGGACGGAGTTTCTGGGTCCTGGGGGGTGGAATCTGATCTGCCTGGACCTGCTCTTCATTGATGTTTGTGACGCTCCTGCTCCTGCTATGAGTTAATTGTCAGTTGCAGGTGCGTCCTGTTACCTGATTACCTTCCAGGTCTTTTGGAGACGGAGTCAGATCGGTCTTAAGCAGCCGGCAGTGCAGGTGTGTGGAGAAGAGGTCCCGGGACGGAACGCTGTTGACGTGGCAGACTTGACAAGGGCGGTAGGCTTGAATTTGTTGGCGGTAGCATAAACTGTGCATTGACTGTAACTAAATGGCTTCCGCATCAGGTGGAAATAGTGGTGGTGAAATGGAATGGGAGATGGCAAGATCATCTAGAATGAAAAGAAATATAAGGAAAAGACAGGAGAGAGCGAGAAGCTGGTCAGAAGAGAGCGAATCAAGAGAAGACATTAGCAAAAAGACAAAAATAAATACGAGTCCGAGAAAACAAACACAAGAAGTACAGACTAACAAGGAAGTAGAATGGAAAGTTATGATTGAGTTCAAACAGGAAGGGGGGCAGTTTCATCCAATTAAACTGACAAAAGCCATCGAGAAAGAGATTGGGAGGATTAAACTGGCCGGACTCATGAATAATAAGAAAATACTTATCCATGCAGAGAACAGACAACAGCAAGAAAAAATTGTTAAGATGACAACACTGGTTGGAGAAACAATTAAAGCATACATACCTGGAACACTTGCAAAACTAAAGGGAGTAATATCAGGAGTACCACTTGACATAACAATAGATGAAATCAAAGGAGGGAAAATTACAGAAGCAACTAG